TGCACGTGTTAGTGGCAGTTATGCATTCTTAATTTTGAATCTACAACTGTTGCAGGAAGTGACACCCTGAAAAGGAAGCTGGACGAGTTTGGTACGTTCTTGGCAAAAGGTGGTTTCATATTCTGCCTTGGTTCTCCAGTCTTACATATTAAGAAAAAGTATTGAATTTGTCATTCTTACTTTGTTTTTTGAAATAAAAAGTGTAAAGTAACAAAGTACCAAGGAGGTACCGTTCATTTATAAAAAATTTACAAGTGTGTTGGGATGTCAGTGATATTCCTAAAATCTTCATCCCTAATAATGTCATGCCCCAACATAAAAGATCCAAAATAATTGTACCATTTATCTCTCAACCTATAAGTCCCAACCTCTTTACTTTCAAAAGCTCTTAGATTCCTTTTCTTCAAATTGACCCAAAAAATACTCAATGATATTAATTTTATGTATTTATTCTTGGTATCAAACACACTCCACTCCCAAATCTCTTCTTTTATAGAATCAGCATCACCCAGTTGATTCTGATTAAACCATAAATCATACACCACAAGTCATAGACAACCGAGCGCCAAGAGAGGATGTGATTGCATGATTCCGCAGCATGCTTACACAACTAATACCAATTAACCAGCATATGACTTCTAGTAATCAATTTGTCAATAGTCAAAATGCGTTCTCTATTGGCCTCCCACATGAAAAAGAAAACAATTTTAGGTCGCACCTTCGCTTTCCAGATCTAATTTTCAGGAAACATATATGTATCATCAGGATCCTCTCAAACAATATGCCTATAGAAGGATTTAACAGATAAATCCCCCTTTCGATTTAGCTTCCACAGGAGTTGATCCAGCTCCATAGTGATTTGTGTTTTAGAAAGAAGCCGTAACAATTCTTCATATTCTCTCACTTCCCAATCATTTAAGTTTTTGTTAATATTAATGATCCAGATAGTACTCCCATTAGCTCCTGCATACGCCTCCTCAATAATCAGATTCCTGGATTGAGCTATTACGAAGATACGTGGAAACCGACTGCCCAGACAGTCCCCCTCCATCCATTCATCCAACCAAAATCTTATTTTATCACCTCTACCCAACCTCCATGTAGTACATTCTTTAAATCTAGGTCATCCCATTAATATTTTCTTCCACAAACCTACCCCATGGCCCCTACTAATCTGTCTGGCTTCATCGCACATCTCCAAGCCACCCCATCCCACCTCAATAATTCTCCTCCAAAGCCTTCCATCTTCCTTCAAAAATCTCCCCAACCATTTCCGTTGAAGTGCCTCATTCATTTCCACCAATGATCTAATACCCAGGCCGCCCTTTTTATAAGACCTTTTAAGTTCATCTCATTTCATCACATAATATCTTCTTCTCCCTTCCTCATCTCCCCAAAGAAAACGGTAATGTATGACTTCCAATCTTCTTGCAACTTGGCAGGGATTGTCAAAGTGGAAAGGAAATATATAGGGAGGTTTGCAAAGGTGCTTTTGATTAAAGTGTGCCTCCCACCCTTTGACACAATTTCTTTTCCAACCTGTTAACATTTTTTCAAATATCTCAACCACAGGTTTCCAAGTTTCTTGATCTTTGAATTTTCCCCGAAAGGAACACCAAGATATTGATAT